AGCACAGCGAGAGAGCCCACCCAGCGATCGAAACAAAAAGGCCGCGAAGCTCCTTCACTCCCCCTCAAGAACGTTCATAACGAAAGTGAAATGGTACGAGTGACTAGAGATCGCACTTCTCCGAAAAAGGCTGCGCGGAGAACTACTCGGGATTGCGTCACAGCGTTACGGTGGCTAACAGCGTCTCTAGTATCTCTCTCTCTTTTCCTTCCTCTCTCCCTCCCTCTGTCCAATACCGTCGCTTCTCGGTGGCGCCCCGGTTCTTCCCTGATTGTTATCTAGCACCGTGTGGGTTTCTTTGGGTGGTCTGCACGTGTCCGGTTCAATCTTCAGTATTTCCGTGTAATTTATTTGTTGATAGGCTTCTTGCCAGTTTGGAGGATCGCTTTGTTGATTTGAGGCAGATCTGCTGTTATGACAAGGTGAGTGCGCTGCCTGGCAGATTGCGTAACCATTTGTTCATTTTTGTTCGTAAGGGCTAAGGTATTTTTCATGTGTTTCACTTCGTTCACGGCTCTGGCCGTATTTGAATAAGCTATTCTGTGTTTAGTACCATTCTATGCATTCTGTAAGTCGTCAAGCGTGTCGTCCGACGGCGCTCCAGCCTCGCCTTGCAGTGTCATTTGGTTGCGCACCAACAGCGCGTTAAATTTGCCAGTTAAACAGCCGTTAAAATCACATATCTTTATTCGCGGATCGGGAGCCCGCTGGTGACACTAACAGCGTTCATTGCTTGACACCACTGAATGACTCAATGCATGGGACCCAGAAACGCGAAAAGCAAGGATTGTGAGGCTTAGACACGGAGATTGACTGCGGATGTTAGGAGATTTATGCAAACCTGACTTTTTTCTAGTAAGCTTCTGCGCATGCGTACTCTTTCCCTGGGCCTACCTTCCCGTTGTCGCCATTTCCGTAGGCACTGACCCGCACGACCGAAAATCATCAGAATCTACGCGTGTATTTAGTCTATTTTGACGCTACGTTTTCTTTTTTTTTCTTGAGTATTGGTAATATAGGGTATAAAAGGCACTGAAAACCGATACAGCGGCACGGTGCCAATGTGTTCTGATGGGGATCAGGCTTGTCGGGCTGCCCTTCATTCGTAGTTCGCAGACAACTATGTGCGAGAGCACCCACAGGAGCGTCCTCAATAAAGCTCAGATGCCACTGAATGTCTGACAGCTTCCATGTTGACAGTGGCTATCCGGAAGTGGACGAATTCCGCGTCGCAAAGCCTTCAAGCTTGTCTTCTGCTAAACCAGTCACATCGAAACAGTGACCGACACCGCGGTAGCACTCCAAAACTCTTGTCTAATTGAGCTGCACTACATTTGTCGACCAGCGTAATCCTTCTGTACCAAAAAAAAAAAAAAATATATATATATATATACATATATATATATATATATATATATATATATATATATATATATATATATATATATATATATATATATATATATATATATATATATATGCAGGGTGTTTCACGGAAGGTGGACAAATTCGATATTGCGAAAAATACGCATCGCACCAAAAAAAGGCTTGTGCTGTTTCGTTCCTAGGCCAGGCGCCTATTTAAGAAAATTATTAAAGGTCGAGGTAATTACATTGTTAACTCTTTTCACGTAATTATTTTTTTGAATGTTGAGCTTAAGGGCATGGTTTCAATTAGAATCTTGCTGAAAATCATCGAAAAACACTAAATCAACAAATTGGAGAAAAATAGGAGGCACGCGCGGTATTTTACGGCTTTCCGAAGAACCGCGCAACTTCGATCGGTTTTTAAGTTTCGGTTTGCAATCGAAGCGCTTCTCGGCACCGACGGCACCGCACCCCGTAACGAAAAGTTTCATTGCCAGCAAAGGCTGAAAAACAAGAAAAAGGGCCCCTTTTTTTTGTTTTTCTACTAGAGTCCCATGCAGTAGGTGGTGTCAAGTAATGGTTGCAGGTGGGTGCCACTCGACACTACAATGACAGGCTTCGATCCAAGATCCAGCCTACTACGCCTACTACAATAGCTGTTGATAGACTGTTTCAAATCCGATTCAGTATCCAATCCAAAGCCGAATAAAGTTAAGCAAAACAAAAATGGCGAGCGAGTCGAAGTTGGCGGTCGGGTTGCCGGGTTCGTAGCATGGTTCAGGTACAGTGCCTAAAGGGTTCAAAATTTTCATCTGACCGTGGTGACGAGTGAAAGCGCTGCATGTAACCGTACGCGGGGCAAAAATACCTCGAAGTTAACCGCCCGTGCTTTGATTCTGATTGTGGAGGAAGGGACCCGAGACGTGTCCTGTTCGGATGGCCGTTTATGGAACACTGTCTTTGCGGGTGCCTAAGCCCCGCGTGCTACCCAATTGTCCGCGTGCTCTTCCTCGTCCTCTATTTCTCAACATCCTGCCGGGCCGGCGCTGGTGTCGATGCTGCATCATGAAGGAAGAGCCGCTGGACAGGCCTGTTGATCTCTCGCCCAGGATGTTTTCGTCTGGACTCTCGTCACTCAAGAGGTATGTCATGAGTGAGGTATGTCATGAGGTATTTAAATTTCTCGATAGGAGAGAGATCGGGATTTCTGTGAATCGTGACATCAAAATGGTCCCAAAATCCCTGCCAATCACTGATGTTTCCGGCAAAGGTAGGTACCTGGAGTTTGGGAAGGGCGACCCTTCGATGACTGCCCTGAGCGGGTGCTGTAGGGACGGTTCCGGTGGAAGAAAGGCTGCTCAAGGTTTCGGTTGTGGGAGGGTGGCCGCTGTGCTGCAGTGTGTCGGTTGGGGTGCTTGCAACACGCGTGGCGATGATCGTGGGTCGGTTTAGTTTGTCCAGGGCGTAACGAAGACGCGTGATGCCGTGGCTAATCCCCGTGCGGTAGTCCTCTGCTCCCTCGATTTCGTTCTCCAAGTCGTCGTCGGTTGTCGATGTAAGAATATGCCGGTCCAGGTCATCTAGGCTCGTCTGCTTCTGGATGAGATAGTCGAGCGGGAGCCGCAAGTCAAGCTCTGTTGTGTTCGGGTTCTGGATAAGATCGTCCAGCTGGGATATCGTCCTGGTGACGGCGGAGCGGACAACACCGCGGGTCCTGCGTAGGCGGTCCATGTCCTCTCGAGGGGTTTCGGCACCAAATTCTATGTGGAGGAAGGGACCCGAGACGTGTCCTGTTCGGATGGCCGTTTATGGAACACTGACTTTGCGGGTGCCTAAGCCCCGCGTGCTACCCAATTGTCCGCGTGCTCTTCCTCGTCCTCTATTTCTCAACAGTGATGTTAGTGTTCTGTCGGTTTGGTCGTGCATAGGCCTAGTGAGCCAACTTCGCAGTGTGGTACGCAGTGCTTTGGTTGCGCGTGCCTGCTCATTCACACTTGCGTTAGCAAGGACAGAAAGCTCGCACTGAAGGCGGGGTCTCTAGTCTCAGCTTAAAGCCTGTTTCACATGCAGCGGTTTTGGCCCTAGAGCGGCGCGATTTCTGCCGTCGCGCCGCTCTAGGGCTAAAATCGCTGCATGTGAAACACGCTTAAAACATGTTTCACATGCAGCGATTTTGGCCCTAAAGCGGCGCGATTTCTGCCGTCGCGGCGCTCGTGCCGCAGAATTGCTGGTGCTGGCCAGAGCGCCGCGACGGCAGAAATCGCGCCGCTCTAGGGCCAAAACCGCTGCATGTGAACTAGGCTTAAGGCGCATTCCCACCGGCGATATAAGCAGTCGCGTGATACCACTAGATCGCAACGCAAAAACAATTAGATGGTCACACCGGCGTGTGCGATGAGCGAGTCCAACGCCTTCGTTGGCGAGGCGTTTCTCGAAAACTCGCTCCGAACGCCGTTGATTGGCTCAGCCGCTCCGCGACTAGATCGCATCGCAAAAAATTCGGGTCGAGAAGCGACTGCTCAAATCGCGTCGCTTTTTGCCCGCGATGGTCGCTTTTGCGATGAAAGTTATCGCGCGACTAGATCGCATCGCCGGTGGGAGCAACTCGCGCAAACCTCACACCGGCGAAGCGATATAGTCGCGCGATAACTTTCATCGCAAAAGCGACCATTGCAGGAAAAAAGCGACGCGATTTGTGCAGTCGCTTGCTTTTTGCGATGCGATCCAGTCGCGCAGCGGCTGAGCCACTGATCTCAATGACAATTGCTGGATCGCGCTTCTCGCTCCCGCAAGTGAAGCCACCGGACGCAACCTTGCTGGGAAACGATTTGCGGTTTTGCTGCGAATTTCCAGCGTGCTGTAAACACCTTTTCTACTCGTTCGTTGTCATTCACCGAAGAAGTTTATAAGACTCTGTGTACCGTTGAGACTTACCGTTGTGAACGCATAGAAAATTTTACGAAAGCGCGGTACCGCAGGAAAAAGGCACAACTCGTCGAAAGCAAGTTTCGCCGGTCTGGCGGCGTGTTCAAAGCTTCCTTGGCACGCCGAAGTGTTGTGTGTCTGCCCTCGCACGCTTGGATACCGACCAAGAATCGACGCCGTGTGAAAGTGTTTTGTGAGTGCAATGTGCGTGAAGCCGTATGTGCCTCTGGATCAGTGTCTTACTTTACTCTGACGACTGTATACTTGCGGCACTCGCGGTCAAGGAACGAGCTTATTCCAGCGTCCAGTAGCGACGGGAATGGGGGAAGGTACATCTTTTTTTCGTCCTTAGACGATTTAGAGAATGCTGCACAAAACAGCTCCTCATCACTGATCAGTGCTGGCTCATTTTGAACCTACTTAATTGCAATTGACGTTTGAGCGCGGCTTGCCTAATTGTGATTGGTCAACGGATTGCACACGACCATATAGGCCGTGCTTCAAAGATTTTCATTCTCGCCATGTTGTACTTTTGCCTTCGAAAACCCTCCTTGCACCACAGCTTTGCTCTATTCGTGCTGCCATGTGATCCATTAGAGTAGATTGGGAACATTGCCATGGTTAATAGTACATATGAACAGGTACAGATTCCCCCCCCCCCCTTATTGATAGCAGCTCACTTGAACAGCTGGACGATCCAGAACTCCATGGCTCCAGTCCAGGCACCGAAGAGAAAAAAGACAAGGAGGCAGCACCCAGAGTCTTTGACATGTGAGTCTCGCTATCATTATTTTAACCTGAATCAAACCGGTTAAAAAAAAGGATACTTTGTTTTGCATGGTGGCTGGTTAAAGGGCAACACTGTTCAATAGACCCTTTTCAACTGTCCGCACCACAACCTGTCCCTCATTGCTTGCTCCCATACAATAAGCATTTATTGGACACAAAGTTGTGCGTCGGCGTTTGGTGTGAACTCAGATCCAATCAGGCGCTTCGTGAGCAAGCAATGGTGACCGCCAATGTTGCTTGAGGAAATTTTGAAAAGGGTCTAATTCTGCAGATTTTGAGATTATGGGTGATTATTACAACAGAAGTACTTATAAATACAACTGCATCATTTGTTTCCTGAAACGTTGAATAGTTTTCATACAACCCTCATTTAAACGAAAATCTCGAACCAAAGTGGAAGCTTTGCCTGTGGCACGCAACACTGGTCCTGTGTCTTTGCAAGCTTATCCACCCATGTGGCACGAAGAGCTACGTCGCCCACTTGACGACGGTGCAAGCCACCTTTGTCGTATTCGCTGTCCCTGCTACACCGACGACACCTGCATTGCCACTGCTGAAGCGTTCAACTCGGAGAAGGGCAAAGTTGACATAAGTAATGTTTGCTGAGCGTGAGGGAAAGGTACATTTTAGTAGACTACATGTAAAGATGTTGCTATGAGAATGTAGCATGATGCATAAAACCGACAGTATGGCATACTTTCGCCCATGCGGAGAGCATTGGCAGGCTCAATAGCACATGTGTGATCCGGATCATGTGGGCACATTCTCCGCCCCTGCACACACTCTTTTTCTGTATTCCTCGCACGCCAACAGCGGCAGCACTTTGAAAAGTAAAACGCGAACAAAACAAGTTGCGTGTTTGCGACGTTTCGCTCAGTGTTGGCTGTACCAACACAGTGGCATTGACTGCACCGCACGTTGCCTGCTAGATTGATCAGATTTTGGCAACTGGGGGCTGCTCAAACATTTTGGCCCTTTTATGTCGTAATATTTGGCGAGTGGGCCTTTCAGAGAATACTGAGTATAACTGCATTGTCTTCTCAATATCAAAAATTATCCTGAAGCAGGGCAACAAGACTAATAGGAGGTGGCTTTTCAAATGGCTTTGTGCGTTCAGGTCCCATCAACTGAAATGGTGTGGGGGACTGACAGCTGTGCACCCTGGGCTTATCTAATGCAGGCATCACATGTGAAAAGTATATTGTTTGCATGTGAAGACATAGCGAACACTTTTTTTTGTACACGGCATCTAGCAGATAATTGTATAACCTTTCCCACTGCTTCGCCATTTTTCTTAGATAAGCGCCTCACGATTTAATGTATCTGTTTACAGCCGAGCACAGGCCATTGGAGACAGGCGGAACCGGGGAGTCGACAGGGGTACCAAAGGACATTGCCACTCGTAGGTAATCACAACATTAGATGCGCGCTTTTGATCACACCAAGGTCTCGTGCCCATGTTGCTGAGCATCGTGAGGGTACTGAGACAAAAATGTAGGGATACTCCCTGCCATTCTTTTGCTGTTAGTGACTTTGGGGAGGGATATTTATTTTGATATCATTAAAGCTGTAGACGCTTAAGGACCAAGACCAAAGGCCGCCGCACTGTACATGATGCGTGGGTAAGTGCGAAACAAGACATATGGCATGCAGCACGTCGCGACCACCCGCAACGCAAAACTTGGGCACTAACATTGTTTAGGGGCTAGAGGAGCGGCTACGGGCCCGCTTTATTTTTACCTCACTCGCAACTGACCGCTCTTGGTGCTCGTCCCTCGACACATATAAAAACAGATATATTTCGAGGTGTAGAAGTGTTTAATTTGAGCTGTAAATAGAGTGTGTCAAGCTGAAGTGGGACGGCACATAACAAAACAAACCACTTCGATGGCCAGCAGATAACGTAGATACAGCAGCTGTAAAGTCAAACACATGTAATTCTGAGTTCAGTATATATAGCGGTATATTTTACCTCGAGTTTATAATGGTAAGAGAAATCTGCACGAAATTTCAAACCTGTACTGCATGTATGCACAAACAATCCTCCGGCCAGCCCGACAAAAAAGAAAATAGAACCTTGGAGATAAATGGTCGCATGGTGAACTGCTCCTTGAACTCGGCTTCTGTTGCATAAACCTGCGAGATTTGCTGGGGAGCGTATTGACACAAGAAAAGTGCATTGTGTCGAGAAGCGCAGCCAAGGATGGAGGCAGGGCGGCCGTCCTAGTCCTAGGAGCCCAAAAACAGCAGATCACCATTCACAACCACCAGAGCCATAGCAGGTTGTCTTCGTGTCATAGGTCTTGATGTCGTAGCATGACGCACGGCACTCGTGAAACATTAGTTCCCAAATGTGCACACCTCTGGTGTCAGCAGAGTGACAGTGGGCGCTCGTCGGCCACTCGCAACCTGCCTCTCCAAGAGAGGCGGTTTGCGATTTCCTGCCGAGTGCCCGTCGCCATCGCACTGACACCGCTGCTGGGGTATGTCTTGCCTTTCCTGAGCAGAAAAATCAGCTCAGAAAGTCGTGTGTCCCGGCCTTTCATCGCGTTTTTAATAAGAAAATCGGCGTCGCGTGATTGTCATTTTAGAATTTTTAGGGTGCTTAGGGCCTGTAGAATTCGTTGCAGCTAAGAACAGGCGATTGTAGATTCCTCTTAGTACCCCTTTAAAGAAACTCAACCGCTTAGTTTCGTAAAACGAGAGCGTTTACCAAAGCTTTCACGCAAAGGAGCTTTAGTTAGGGGCATTTTTTAATAAAAATGGGCAAGAGAATTTGGAGAAAAAACGGAGCTATAAGTGCACAGATCAGCGAGGAAACATGCTCTGAAGCGTCTTAGGCCTAGGCACAAGGTATCACATGACCACAAAGCAGCCACTCGCAGCCCGAGTTTCGTTTTTCTATCCTGGTACAAGTGTTCTTAATGAGGTTCTTCCCCATTGTCAAACGACTGAGAGAAAAAAAAAAGCTGCCCCAGAAGTTTGAGAAACCGCCATTTCCCGGGCTTTCGGGCCTAGTAGCCATGGAGCGATCACATTTTGAAACTGGTGCTTATCGCAGCTCTCCTCCGCTCAACCAAGTGCAGCGCGTCTTGCATGCGTCGGCGACATATCAATATTTTTTTTGCTTTGTTTGTCAATACACATTATAAAACTTTGTGGGAGCATTAATTATTGACCATACATGCCAAAACTGTGAAGTTCTGAAAACACCTTTTTTTGGCCATAAATTCGGTAAATTGGGGCTCTGTCTCTCTTTGAAAAAGATTATTTAATTAAAACAAATGTTTATACTATACTTTTGAACATCGCATACAGTTTATAACATCTCTTAAATTTTTACAAAACATTGAAACACACTTACTCTGTCTGGCAACCATTTCAAAGCTCTCCAAACCCATCCAAAACACCTAAAGGTGCGGGCACTCTTCTGAAACTTCCCGAAACCCATGTTTCAGAACAAGTTTCTCCCCATCATCAGTGCATAATGTTCGTCAGCAATATGGATAATGCTTTCTTATGCCTCACTTATTTTGCAGCCTTCGAGGCTCAGCTGCTCAAGGTCGGGCTTGACCTACGGATTCAAAATGAGCAGCTGCAGCAGCAGATGAGGGAAATGCAAGTCTGTGTGGCACAGGTGCTCAGGCACGTTGTGTCATTAAAGCACCAAGAAGAGCAGCCGAGGTTTGGGGAACGGGCGACACCCCAGGAAATGGCCAGGCCCGAACCACCCGAGCTGTTCCTGATGCCCATTTGCGACATGGAGCAGCTTCGTGCTGCGGAGGCGCGGCTAAAAAACCCCGCCGACAGGACACTGCTGGTATTTGTATCCTCTTTTTCACAGTATTGAAAGGTATAAGGCTGCGATTCTTACTTTGTGATTTAACTTGGGTTATGTGAAGATATGCTAATGGGTTGAAATGTTGACTGAAGCTTTTTACCCTAATATTTTCAAACAGGTGCACGCACAGCCAATGCACGATGGAAGGCTGTTGTTAGGGACACTCTTAACCTGAATCATGCGATAGACTTGTGTCAAGGTCATGTAACGCCAATTGCACGTTTTACAAGTCAGATTTACTGGCCTGCGTATACTGTATAATCGCGTGTAAGGGCCGCACCCCAGTATTGAAGACAAAGTACTGAAAAAAATGTTTACAGAAATTATTCGCATATTCGCCGGACCCCCTCAGGGGCGGATGCAGGAATTTCCTGAGGGGGGGGGGGGGGAGGGTTCAGGTGTTGGTCAGTGTACCATATGTTTACGAACCCCCTCCCCCTCTCCTTCGTTTTACGCCCTAAATTTTACACATGCAGAAATGCAGAAGGGTGTCAGGACATCCGGACCCCCCCCCCCCCCTAAATTCGCCACTGCACCCCTTGTCTTTGAGGTGCGCCGACTGTAATGCCACGTTTCTATGGACATATATCGCTAGCTGACTCTAGCCTTTGCCCGAGCTCGTAGCGGCACGTGTCCACATCCCCAATATTTGCTCTCCACTCATCCGTATCACCGTATGGCATAATGCTGTCGCCCTCGGTCGTGTTCAGCCGCGCTGTCGGGATGCATTTATGTTGCGGCAAGCCATTGAGATAAGATAAAGGGTATGTCAGGTCTCGTGGCAAGCGTGAGGAATGAAGTATCCAGTGGGCTCGGCTCGCGCGAGCACTCAAGTTTCCGGATGCCACTGTATGCTCTGGGGAGGTTTCCTTCTGTTCTTTGATTCTTGTCAAAGCGTCGTGATTTGTCTGCCTTTTTGCGCAATCTCAGAGCTAGGGGCAGTACCACTTCAACAGTCATACGGAGTTCAAGCCGAAAGTTGTCGCTCATGCCATCAATTATGAAAAAAAAATAAAACGATGTGTAGGGTGCGATGTGTAAACTAATTAAATCCGATTGACGATTGAGCCTGGACTCCGGAGTGAAGGCGTTTCCGACCAGTGCAGCCGAGCGTGATCAAGTATATTCGTGTCTAAATGTGGATAATGATAATTTTTTTTTTAAATCCATGTCACCTCCAAAAGTTTGCCCTCAAATCGGGAAAAAAACTATTGCGCCCCTTACACGAGTTTTACGAGTTTATACAGTACTTTCTGTAGTTGTTAAATTGCCTTTCATAGAGGCCACTATAGAAAAAAATGCTGGACGGTGGCCGCCAAAAATTAGGCGCCCTGTGCGTCTCTACATTTTAACAGTTTTCTCCACCAGAGGGCCATGTAGACTATAGTAGCCTTCATGTGCATTTTCATTGAACGGCACTTTAGGTCTTTTTCAACTGCGGCTTTTTTCAAATTGCTTCAAGTGAAACATTTCACAAGGGGGAAAGTAAAATCACCCGCCCATTTGGGGGAAAGTGAAACTGCCCGCATATTTGAATTTGGGTGCTTAAAATATGTCAGCCTGCAAATATCAATGAACCATGTTAATTTCCTATGACACCTCTGCCCATTTTATCCTTCAAGATTAAACTCCGCACGTGCAACAGCTCTCGCCGTGGGTCTGTGTGCAGAGCACGCACGAGCCCACCTGCATGCTTTTTTGTGTTTAACGCTTGCTTGGCCAAGAAAGATACTGTAGTATATATTGGCCTTCTTTGGTCCTACCCCTGTTCTATAGTCGATATGTATATGTTTAAGGCAATAAATTCTTTTGTACTCTTAGCATCTGCTGCAGAAGTGAAGTTACAACTTTTAGCCTGCTCCAAAAGGTTTTTGGGTGTGCCCACCATTACATGTGTATGCCCATACAAATTTGTAAATGATTGCGGGATAAATTTTCACCAATGCCATCTTTACTTTGCATAAATAGTGCATTTCCAAAATGAGGTGTTGACGTATCCTAACCGAAGGTCATCCTATGGCAGCAAATGAAGTTTGCAAAGTCAAACAGTAATTGTCATTGCATCTGCCACTTCATTCAGAAGGTGTGAGTGGATGCGTAGCTGTGTCCCCATGCATAGTAGTGTACGTGTCCCCATGCATAGTAGTGTACAAGCGCAAGCTGAGCAAGTTGAATCATTACATGTGACGGGCTTGAGCTGAGGAGTGCCGTAACTGAGTGAGCACAAAACAAAATTATGAAAACAAAAGTACTCACACCGTGATGTTGTCACCATCTTGTGCGACTATGCAGACGGCTTTGGTCAAGTCCCGCTTTTTTAAGCCTCTCTCAATTTAAGTCTTAGTAAAGTAAATAAATGGGCGCAAAATGCACGGGGTGACTAGCCGGCGGACATATATCTTTAACAAATTTAGGATATGTAGGATTTTGAATGCACTGTTTTGAGAACCACATACATTATTAGAATTGCTCAACAGATTCTGACTAGACATTGAGTAAAGATGATCCATCTAAAAGTTTCCACGATTTGAACAACGATGCATGTGTCTGATGGATAAGCTTTAGTGGAGTATGCAGGGAAATGTTTTAAATTTTCTGGTTTGCTTTAAGACGGGTACAAGCCATATTCGAATATTTTTAATTCGCTCTTCAGTAAATTTGTAAATATTTTATGTATGTAATGTGGTTTGCTGCATGTGCCTGTACATGCACATCCTCTTAGTTAAGACATATTCATACCATTGTGTCTGCGTGTCAATAACTTTATTGACATTTTGAGAACACATTTTGTCTTTCTAGGAGGAGCAGCTCCTGTCTTTAGGAGACGGGAAGACGCTGCAAAAAGTGGTACGAGAGATTGTGGGGCGCCTGCTCTCGAAACAAGTCCAGGAGCGGTTCTCCCTCCTGGGCTACCGAGGAAAATCGAGATTCAAGGACACCACAATGTGCAAGCTGGTCATTGGTAATGCATATTCATTACTAGCTATTTAATTGGTGGTTATAATGATAATGCAATTGGAACACGACAAGCGAGAGCTTTGAAATATGTTGACAGTTAAGTTGACAGTTTAATTTGACTTGCATTTTCTCTTATGAATTACTCCAGTGTTGGCATTCTTGGAACCTTCATACTCAAAAGCAGCACTTTAAAGTAACTAAAAAAATTTTTTTTGTCGGTCATGTTTTGTTAGTTTACAGGTTGAAAATTTAATGAAGACCATTTAGATGCCCTGGTCTGTAGGGTGTCGGGGAAGTTTTGCTCTTTTTTAGACAACTGCTCTCTGCACCTATCCCCGATTTCAGAATAATATAATGTTGCATAAAAGAGCAGTATGCCTCCATAGAATCGGCAGCTCAGCGTGGTAACCAAAGCCAGAATCTCCTCCTCTGTAGTGGTATTGTGTCACCTCTGGATTGCAGGATGGTGTGTGTCCTTCTATTTACACTAAGGAAACACTCACAAAGTGCAGTTTGTGAGCAGCAGCCAGTGTGAAAGGTATTGGCTTCCCCTATTCCTCAACTAATCTGTGTGATCGGACAATTCTCTTTACAGGTGCCATAAAAAGTCGCACTGAAGGGTGCAGCCTGGACGCGATGGAAAAGCGGCTGAGCCGCTTCCTATCGGGTGCGTCCGATAGGGAGGAAGGCAGGGCTAACAGAGTCAAGAAGACTTCCTCGGTGCCTCCAACCATTTCGGATGATGAGGGAACGGCTTCTGCTGAGCAGCCAGCTGCTATGATTGAATCTCAATAAAGAAGAACGTCATGGTCAAAAATGTTGTATGTTTCCTTGTACTACTCACCCCTATGCATGCATCTGGGGTGTCGTTTCAACAAGTAGCCATATCTGCCATGACATACATGGAGAAAAATTCAATTGTTCACACAGAATTGTTTCTTAAAATTAGACAAATACTAAACTGACTTGTTTCGGTTCACGTACAAAAACGTATTAAAAACGGTCAGTACCTATAAAAGATCTGAAAAACCATAAAATAGTACCAACTGAGAAATTTAGCATTTTCATATTTAAGTGAATTTGATCTACTGAGAAGCTAGCTTTTCAAAATTTTAATGCAGTACGATGCCATACTTGGGCTTTAAGGCCTGACACAGCTATAGCATTCTAGTGGTTCTATGCTGGGTGCACTGAATGACAAATACGCTGGCGCTGATCCGCAATTACGCCGGCACTGATCTGTTATTACACTGGGCCTAATCTGCAATAGGACTGGCTCTGACCCGGAAATACGTTGGCACACTGATGGTTTCCTACCGTTCCACCGGCTCCATGCCGGGGATCTGTGTCGGGAGCTCACTGGGAACATTCCGTATTCCCGACATCTCGGTTTCCCAATAAGTTCCCGGTACCGGCCGGATTCCGGTATTGGGCCCAGCCGATGTCGCCCCTTGGGGCGTTTCCGGTACTGGCCGGTATCGGTATCCCGGCAGGCCGATACCGCCCCATCCTCAACCCGGCGTGTTGTGCTACTTGGGACGCAATGCCTAGGAATATGTTTAGTTTTTTTCCTCGTAATGGGCAAAGTAATGCTAGGAAAGGCTGGTAGCTTGGTGGGATCTCGTTGATTGTCATTTCTGTTAAACGCTCGTCATAGATATGCGACTTTCTCTCATTCGACAAATCACTCGCTAGCGTTCAAGCTCAGCTGAAACTCAGTGAGAGCGTTAAGCACTAACACTAAAGGGTGTTTATGTTCTTCAAACGTATAAGGTGTATACGATGAAGTCGTCGAGGTATACGAGGGCCATACTCTACTTCAGATGTCGAAGTAGGCTAATGGAAAGTGGCGGGTGCGTTGCAGAGTCCCAATGGTAGGCGATTAATCTTAAACAAACCGTCGGGAGACACAAAGGCTGCCTTCTCAGCGTCTTTCGGTTACAGTTTCACCTGTTGGTACCCAGGCATAAGATATAAAGCTGTGAAGCAGTTACAGCCGGGGAGGCGATGTAGGGCGTCATTTAGTCTTGTTAAATTGCATACGTCAGATTGTGTATCGCAGTTTAGCTTGCATTAGTCAACACACACATTTATCAATCCGTCCTTTTTAACCAAAACGACTGGTGAAGGACCGTGTGACTTAAAGATTTTGTCTCTATAAAGCATCTCGTGAACTTGCTTCTTTAAATCTTCTCACTCTTCAATCAAAGCACACATCGGTTGGTGACGTCCGGCGCGTGATGAGCAATGTCGATGGTGTGATTAGTAAGCGAAGTTGATCCCAGACCTTTGGATAAGGCGGCATTATGCTGTCGGTATGTTATCAGCAGATTCGTTATTTCCTGTTTTTTAGCGTCAGATTTAGTCCAAAATTAAAGCTTGACGAAAGTAAGTTTTCCGCCAGTTAATTTTTTTCAGGGATGCTGCGAAAGTGATGCAACAAAGGCCACAAAAGTTTCCTTTGGTAGAACAGACGTTTCACTGAAAAATACCTCGCAAAATTTCAACTGATGCTCACCATTGGTCACCGTCATCAGAATAAACCGTGTCTTGGAGGCACAGCATTAGCACCATTAGAATTTCTGCGCTAAAGTTCACATCCGAAATTACGGCCGCAATTCACTCAGCTTACAGTTTCGGTACAATAGCATGAGAGTGCGAGACGATAACCAACGTACATTTAGAGTGGCGTTTTAATTTCAAAGTTTATTTAGATTGAATCACTGCAACGGGGTCTGAATACTTGACTGTAATGTGCAGGGTCATTCCTAGGCCACATTTGCCAGATTATCACACAACAGAAAGTGTTTCATGAAAAAAAAAAATCAACTTTTGCCGCAATGCGATTGTCTTATTTTTTCGGCCGCAATCTTGGATGGGTAATGTCTCTGCTGGCTAACTGAACGTTTCCGAAGAGGTTTACTTCCGCGGACCAGACTACCCATCTTTATCGTGGGTAAAAGTTGCGTCAAACGTTTATTTTAAGCATCAGTCCCAACCAAGCACCAAATGCCATTCAAGATTTCTCACAATGGCAAAGGGATGGTTCGCGATGGTTCCTAGTGCTATAACAGTCAGCGTAACATGCCCTTCTAGTTTAAATACTGAACTATTAGCATAGCTTAGATAAACTGTGTCATGTGATATGCCAGTTCTCGTACAACTGACTGAGGGAAAATCAGCATCAATGACACTCACTACGCCGCACGTGTCTACGAGAGCGTTGATAATTTGAACATACCCATTAAGATGAACGCCAAGTGTAAGCATCGCAGCTGTATGCAACTCGGATGATACAAAATGAACATGACACGCTTCGCGCAGTCGGGTCTTCCTATGCCTGCCGGATTCACTCCAATTTACTGAGGAACAGCTCTTGGACTGCACAATGCTATTTGGAAAGGCTTTAGTAAAATGTCCAACGGTACCAGAACAAATGCCGCAAACCCTTGATGATCGGGATAAGTGGTCAGATGAGCATTGGAGTTGGTCTCGTCACACTGGATGTCCGTTCATGATTAACTGTCTCCAAATTAACTGCTTGTTTCAATGCCCACTGTAATGTTTTGTGAATGGAAAGCCGATTATTGCGCTGATTATCGGCTTCGGCAATGTTGTCGATGAATTAGAAGTCTTCATCTGATTTCCCGTTGCTTCGGAGCAGGTGAGAACCGTTTTGTTTTTAAATAATTTCTCAACATTGTCGGCAAGCTCTTTGAGTTTTTGTCGGTTTCTTGCCGGTCCTGAAGTAAAATAGTCAGGTAAAATTGCTGACGATGTGTATCGCCGAAACGAGCCAACAGAGCTTGAAGGATCAGTTCATATGACGAGCTGCAAGTATGTGACAACTTTCGAGACAATTGGTAGCGCTTTCTCAGAGTTTCAGAGTTGATTTAATGACGGTCGAACTTTAGTAGACGTATCCTGCCCATCTTGTTCAGCCATGATTTCAAACTGCATGACAAACCTCCGACGCGCAGGAGGAGGATCCGCCGAAAGTGGGTGGTTTCTGCTGTTCGGAACACGCAGTCTCTGGATTGTTATGGCTGCGGGATCTAGTGACGTTGTATAGTTCCAACCGTTATTAGGACTGCTCTCTCGTCACTCAGCTTGAAAGCGTCCCTCGACTTGTAGCCTCGATTCGGTGAACATAAGACCCTTGTTTGAACGACGTCTGACATCAGAAATCCCGCACTCCATCGTTGTCTTCAATTCACTGAAGCGACCAAGTTTGCGGCAATCAATGCCCCCAGTTTATTGTCGGAGTCAGCAGCACTTTTCTCAGCCAGTCGGCTGAATATTTGCCCCGTGATTTCTGGCACTACAGGATTCGAAAGAGCTGCGCTTCCATGCGGGGGCGTCGAATGGGTTTGGGGTGAAGTTATGAGTACGACCCCTTCTATTCGCGTCTCCAGCTTGTTGCTCGCCCTCTCGAGGCGATAATGAGATGGGCTCTTGTGGCAGTCTCCCCGTTCTCCTGCTCAGCGGGCAGGGCGGAACTGCTAACGATTATGGTTCACGAACAATCATTTCTGAATGCAAACAACACTCTTCTTATGCACCATGACGTGCATGGGTTTCCAGGTCTCCCAAACGAAAACCTATGGTACAAACTGAAAGAAGTATCAGACCAGCTAGGCGTTGTTGAACTGATTGAAAACGATGTAGAAGCGTTGCACAGGATGCCCGGAAAGCCAGATAAGGTTCCTCCGATTCTCGTTCGTTCTACGTCCCGACTTACTAGAGATCGTTGGTTCCAGGAAAGGGCTGTACTCAAAGATAACGCGTTGGGTATCTGGTTAATAGACAACCCAACAGCGCAAACAAAAAGATTGCTTTGGTAGGCAAAGACGAAGGCAGCGGAAAGACGTTATCAGTTTGTTTGCCAGAAGGGCGGAAGGATTTTTGTCAGGAAGCAACACGGCGATCGCCCTATCCGAATTGACAATGACAATGATCTGGCTAAAATTGAGTAAACATTCCAGAAGTATAAAGCTACTAAATAAATAAACACAACAATGGCGCGCGATTATAATGAACCTACGTACTATGACAGCGCGTTATTCAATCGGTGCATCACTTATAAAGCAGCTACTGCAAAAACACTAAAATTGTTTCACATAAACGCATGAAGTCTGCGGAGTAAATCTGATGAAGTATGTTTTTTCCTAGATTCACTTTGTACGCCGTTAGATGCTCTTGCGTTTAAGGTGGTACTCAGGAGAATCGGACATTGTGCGATTCCAAGATTATAAATGTGAAGTTATCTGCCGCGAATCTCGTCGTGGGGGCGGCGTTGCCTCCTACATCCAAAACAAACTAAACTACCATGTACTGCATGATTTCACTTGTATGAATAATGATTTTGTATATTTGTTTGTGGGTTACGGAGATCGTATATTAGCTGCGGTTTACCGTTCACCCTCAGGTGCCCTAAATGTTTCTTTTTCAATTTTCTTGAAGAATTACTTGAGTATGAAAAAATTGTAAGGATGCAGGCGAGCTGGTGGATGTTAACCATAGTTTTGTTTAACCCGAGACTGGGGTATTTCGGAAAAGGGACGAGAAGAAAAGAGGCCACAAGGAGGCGACGTCTCAAACACAGCTAAGGATTTTATTCCATCGTATGCACTTTTATACACACCACGTCCACACACCACCAACCAAGTCGACCAATGACAACATAACACCCGGAATACACTAAGCCAAACATAGGCCCAAAACATTACAAAAGAAAAATCTTTCAGCCAGGCAAAAGGACAAGATAAGCCTCCGACTACACAAAGTCCACAAAG